AGTTGGACTGGAATCAAGCATGCGGGTCTTCCATGGGAACTAGGTGTTGCAGAAGCACATCAGGTGTTAACGATGAATAATTTACGTTCGCGTGTTGTTATTCAAGCTGACGGACAAATCCGAACTGGTTTGTAGCTCCTTTTGACTAAATTCATATGAAGTGAATGAATCAGTGATCTTTGTTTGTCGCGTTTTACATAAATGTCTCTAGAGTTAAAAACAAATTGATTGCCACATAAATTTGTTTTTAGCGCGAGACACTGAAGTGTGCAATGTAAATGACATATCCAATTGTTTTTCGGTAAACTTTAACAGAAACTGCGCCCAGTCAAAATGGTACCTGGGTGAGACCAAGGTACTTCAGAAAGCAATATTTTGTTAAAGCCGAATACCATGAGTTAAGGTCGCGATGTAATGATAGCTGCATTATTGGGTGCTGATGAATTCGGTATGTCGACAGCACCATTGATTGTGCTCGGATGTACAATGATGCGTAAATGTCATCTGAATACGTGTCCTGTTGGAATTGCAACGCAGGTTAGCATTTTTGTTGCTTATTTCCCGTTTATCGATTATTTCTGATTACAACTCAGTTGACCTTTCAGGACCCTGTCTTAAGAGCTAGATTCACTGGTAAACCAGAGCATGTTGTTAATTATATGTTCATGGTGGCTGAAGAAGTTCGGTATTTCTTAGCTAAACTTGGATTGACAAAATTACAGGTTATTATTATTTTTGTTATTATTAATTATTATCATATTTATTATTGCGGTTATAATGAGCACTGTTATTGTTATTATTATTCTGGAATTATTATTCTAGATGCTTAGTGCATTCGATGAATGTCAAATATTTTAAGGAAGCAGTTGGTCGTGTCGATTTATTGTACGCAAATCCAAATCCATTGAACAAGAAAGCAACAATGCTCGAATTTGGTTATATTTTACAACATGCGCAGCATATGTTTCCGAATCATGATATTCGCGGTGGTTCTGTTAAGCAGGTTACTTGCTACTTCACTATTATTATTATTATTTTATTATTATTATATTATTATATTATTATATCATTATATTATTATTATTATTATTATTATTATTATTATTATTATTATTATTATTATTATTATTA